GAGGAGGAGGAGGAGGCGGAGGATGAGGAGGAGGCGGAGGAGGCGGAAGAGGAGGAGCGAGGAGGGGAGGAGGGAGGAGGAGAGGAGGAAGGAGGAGGAGGAGGAGGAGGAGGAGGAGGAGGAGGAGGAGGAGGAGGAGGAGGAGGAGGAGGAGGAGGAGGCGGAGGAGGCCATCAGAAACCCACACCTTCGCCACCTGCTGCACCATTCGTCGGCCCCCATTGGGCAGCGCTGACGGGGTTCAGCCAACGCCCTCAGGCCGACCCAGGTTTGGGAACCACGCGGGGCCGATGCCCCCCGTCCCGCCCTCAACTGGCCCCTGTTTGGGAGCTGGCCGGCCCGGGTTTGGGCCGTGGCTGGCTGGTGCGTCCCCGAGCGGACAGGAGGAAGATGCGGCGGTTGGCGTTTTCCAGGGGAGGGGGACGGTGACGTCGGCCACAGAGGGGTGGACCGGCAGATGTTCGCCTCTGGCCCAGCCGTTCGTCCAAGGGAGGAGGAGCGAAGTTGTCGTCGAACGTGGGCTTGGGGAATGATCCCGTGATCGTAAAACGCCACAGACTCAAAAAAGAAACATGGTTGCTGTGCTTGCTTGAATGAAGGCACGCCAACTGTAGAAGGTTAGGAATTCTGTAGGTGGAGGGAACCCTGTAGGGTCCCCGGTTGTGTCTGTAGACTTTTCAGCCTTGTGACACCCAGTGATCAGGATTTCGGCAAGCAGCGGTGCGCCACTGGGGAGATCGCAAACAACGAAAGGAGGAGGCTAGGAGCGCAGAGCGAGGAGGGAGAAGGGAGGAAGAAGAGGCGGAGGAGGAGCACCACCAGCGAGGAGTTGAGAAGGAGGAAACATAATAATACGCATACTTATATGAAGAAGAGGCACGAGGTTGAGTGAGGAGGAGAATGATGACGGGAGTCGAAGAGGTGGAGGAGGAGGAATGGAGGGAGATGAAGATGATGAGATGTGAAGGGGAGGAGGAGAAGGATGTGCGGGCGGAAGGGATGAAGATAATGAGAGGGGTGCCCCGAGGTTTTTTTTTGGGGGGAAGAGTTCTGGGCCTCCCAGGTTGAGGACAGCACAGCCCACCCCCAGCCCCACCCAGGATCCAGTTTCCTGACCTGGTGATCCAGGGGGTCCTGGCCAGGGGTGGTCGTGGTTTGTATTTCAAGAACCATTCCCATCCCCAGCCACGACCCATGGATCATCAGATCGGGGGTGGGGTCCTGGGTGGTGGTGGGGGTGGGTTGTGCTCATCTCACACGAGGCGTCCGAGCAGGTGGGGTCGGAGGATCTCGCCGCGTCGCCGGTCCGTCTGCGATGCGGCGCGATGGGGAGCCCGATCTTCTCCACGCCGACGTCTGCGCATCGCCGCTCCCCCGACCACATCCACTCGGACCCCCGCAATGGGAGGCCGCTTGGAGTGCGAGGCCGGGTAGTCGAAGGTCAGACTGTCAGATTGGATTGGGCCCCAAGGGCCAGTCTGGCCTGGCCAAGCTGGATGATTCGGGTGATTCGCCAGACCGGATTCGCGTTGGCTCCCTCGCCAGACTGCCCCCGTTTGCCAGATTGGGCCTGCCAGATTGGCGCCAGATTGGCTTCGACTACCCAGCGGGGGCGGGCAGGGGGGCACTCTGACGCCCTCGCGGCGTGGGAGCAGCACGTCGGAGGGTGCGGAGAGGCAGCACGGTGCAAGCCTCCGCGTGGCCGTTGCCGGGCCCCGGGGCCTCGGGGCCGTCAAGGGATTGCTGCGGATGAGGAGCTGCTCCCTAGGGATCAGGAGCGAAAGAAGGACGTATATGTACATGAATCCACGCTGGTTTCGAGAGTTCGCATTGCGCGAATGTTCGTATCGCGCGGCAGGTCTCGCGGGTCAACGGGCCGTGTTCATGTACATGGTTGGGCGCGTACGTCCTTTGTGGGCTCGCTAAGGGAGGGGTCACGATAGCAAAGGAAGACAAGTCGGACGTTTGGGGTTCGGAGGGAGGGAGTCTGAAGGGAGGGAGGTGTGCAGCGGTGTAGAAATGGAGAGTGAAGGCGACAGAGGGGGAGAGGGTTATCGACGGGAAGGGAAAAGAGGGAAGAATGTTTGGAGGCTTTGGAGAGGGGTCGGACCATCTTGTGGGGAATTTGCGACATCCTGCTCCGGCACCCTGACACCATCCCCTGCGGCGAAAATTGCAATTGACCATAAGGCCACAAGGTCATTCGTCCATTCAGGCATGTCGCCCATGCGGCATTGCTAAACCCGTGTCTGCAGCCATTTCGGCCCGTGAAGGAAGCTGGCGTCTGGGCTTTCGACGCACGCCTCGTTGCGATGTAGTCGACTGGTCATTCCTACATTGCTGGGGCCTTTCAGATTTTCCGAGAGCAAAGATCGAGGAACGAAACTTCACACAAACATAAATTGTCCCAGGTCCGCGCTGATTCCTTGGATCGGCGCTAGGCCCCACTCTCTGGCACGCGGAGAGCGCCAGGGGGGCGCGCCTGCGGCGCCGCCAGGTGGGCCCAGGCGCCGATCCCAGAACTCCGGGCGGACCATCGAAAGCCTATGTTCAGCAAGTGTTTTGCTCCTCGAGCCTAATAGCCGCGGATCCTCAACCCCATCTTCGCAGGTCTGGTCTTATTTCAGCTTGGCAGCCTCACTTTTCAGCCTCATGGGGCATCCCGTCGCTGTCCGCCTGTTATTGTCTGTGTTTCTGTTATCCGATCCGGTGGCGGGAGGGAGGGAGCCTCTTCTGTTGCAGCCTGTTGGAGAATGCGAGGGCGGTGAGGTGCCGCAGGCTTGCCTAGAGGCAGAGCTTGGCCTGGTAGACTGGAAGCGTTACCTGGAGATCCTGTGCCAACCTCAGGTGCAGGGGTGGGTTCTCGAAGCTGCCGCCGTGGAGGTGTTAGACCGCTTCAGCAAGGCGGGTGCAAGTGCATGCACGTCGGGCTTCCTGGTCACGATGCTTGCCCTCATGATCTCTGGGTCCGACAGCTTCGAGGACCAGGTGGTGAAGTTCCTACCCGATGGAGACGTGAAATTTTTGATTATGCATCTGCCGCTGGATGGCTCACCCGAGTTGAAGCAGTTCACAGCCACCACCCGGTCTCATCATCTCTTCCCTCCGCCCTTTCCCGCTTGGGAGTTCCCCGGCCCTATGGCCGCGATCCGGGACGCTCAGGACTTCTCCTCCATGCCTCAGCTCGCCAGGGGCAGGCGCTGCGACGGGAGAGCCCTCGACCTGGCTGGCTGCGGGGGCGACCCCATCTGGAGCGATCTGCTGAGCGGCATGTGTGCCAGGTGCTCCACGGCCAGCCACGTGCACGGGCTCCCCTGCCTCTACGACGAGCACTTCCTGGGCCTCGTGCGCAGGGTCCTGGAGCTCGGCGGGCGCGCGGCTAACCGCACACCTGCTCCGAGCCTGGCCGGGACGGCCCTGGGCCCCGGATGCGTGCGAGCGGCCTCCTGGCCCGCCGAGGAGGGCGGACCCCCGGGAGAGCCCGACGTCGTGGGGCGTTCTCCGCCTGGGTCCCGGATCCGTACGAGCGGCCTCCTGGCCCGACGAGGACAGCGGACACCCGGGAGAGCCCGACGTCGTGGGGCGTTGCCCGCCGGGGTCCCCAGAGGTCTGGGCCCACTCCCCGAGGCCGCCCGCTCGTTCCCGCGTCTTTCATATATCGACGGTCCCGGGGCCCGGCCAGGGCCCCCGGGAGCCCCAAGCCACGAAGCACCGTTGTCTTGATGTTGGTGCACACGTCGGCGTCACCGGCTCTCGTCCCGAGGGCAGCGGGGGCCCGCCTCGCAAGCGGCCAAGAGCTTGCCGTCGTGCTTGATTTGCGACGCGAGCTTGTCTCTGGGGCTCGTAGATGGGGTCCCAGTAGATGGGGTCGGAGGATCGCGCCGCGTCACCGATGCATCGCCGATGCGGCTCGATGTGGAGGCCCATTTTCTCCACGCCGTCGTAGCCGACGCATCGCTGACGTCGTCGATGCATCGGCGATGCGGCGCGATCCTCCGACCCCATCTTCTCGGACCCCATTGTGGCTAGCTTGACGGGAACCCTACCCCTGCCCCCCACGATTTCTGAGCGGGAGGGTGGGGTTCACTTCGCTCAGGAGCTCCCGAGCGAAGTGAACCCCACCCTCCCCCTCAGAAATCGTGGGGGGTAGGGGTAGGGTTCGCGTGTGGCCCCCTACATTGGGCAGGACACCGGTCCTCGGCCCAGGAGCCACGCGGCCGGGCTCCGTGTGCAGGCGTGCGTGTAGCCGGGCCCTCCCGAGGAGAGGGGGCGCGCCCGGAGCCGGAAGACGGACTGCCCCCACGGCCTGCTGGCGGCCATCCTGTCCCTGGGAGGCTCGTGGGCGAGGAACGCTAAAACGACGCGAAGATCGGGACAAAATCGGATCGGGATAACTCGAAATCTCTGAGAATCGGCGGGTTTGGAGGATGTATTGGGCGCCGCGGCCGCTCCAGAGCGTTCCGGAACGCTCTGAGAGCGCTCCGGAACGCTCTGGAGCGATCTATCCCGATCCTAGCCCTGTTTTATCGTGGGCGAGGAACGCCCGAGGCGACACCGACAGCGAGCCCTGCTCAGAGTGATCAAGGAGTGGTGTCGGTATGCGTGCCCATTCTTTCTGTACCCGCTTTCGTGGGCGACAAGCGTCTCCGTATCCGCGGCCTCGTGGGCCCTGCCACAGTGCCGCGACCTCGCGGATAAGGGGCGTGCTCCGGGATGCCCCGCGCGAAACGTATCCGTGCGACCGCGTTGCCGCGGGATCGCGCACCGGAATCCAGCATGCGGGGGCGGGAATATGGATACGTTTGCCGCTGATGAGAGGCCGCGCGGAGATGAGCTTGCCCGACGTGCTTCCCCAGGTATACCAGGTGCCTGCGCTTCGGGGAGATCGAAGATGAAGACTCGGAGGAGGAAGAGGGATCGGTACCGCTGCCGCTTCCTCCTTCTTGCCCCTGCCTCCTGGGAGGCCCTCGTGTCGTCGCCACACCTGGATTCGCCTCGAAATTCTGGTCAGAACGCGCCATGGAAGAGGTCCGAGGAGTGGCGGTATGGGTACCTCTTTGCCCCAGACCGCATCGATGTGGGGAGAAGGCGCGATCCGTACCCCCTTGGCCCGTCTTCCCCCTCCCAGGGCTTGGCCTCAGCTTCGGCCCCCCTACTCTGGGCCTCCTGGATGGGGTCAGAGTAGATGGGGTCGGAGGATCGCGCCGCATTGCCGATGCGGCTCGCTGTCCAGCCCGATTTACTTCGCGTCGACGTCGTCGATGCGTCGCCGACGTCGACGATGCCCCGCCAGTGCATTGCCGATGCATCGCCGATGCATCACCGATGTATCGGCGATGCGGCGCGATCCTCCGATCCCATCCACTCCGACCCCATGCAAGAGGCCTCTACCCATGCGAGACGTCTCGCAGAAAGGGACCTAGAAAGTGTGTCCCACCCTCACTCACCTGGGCGACCCCTATGAGGAGGGGGGCCAAGTGGGGCTGGGCGTACTCTTTTACTTCGCGGGCATCCGTAAGTTCACGTTTGTGCAGCATGTTGCAAATATTGATTGTTGTACTGCTGTCGTTCGTTAGTCGTCGTATTCGACTGGTCGTCGGCCGTTGGTCACCGCAGTTGCCATCGCGCTCGTTGTCCCCGTGCCGTCGTCCTCTTTCGTCGTCGTCGTCGTCGCCGAAGATCGTCGCCATTATTCTGCACGTGCCTCCCAAAGTTGTCTGTCTGCGCAGATGTGTTTCCTTTTTCTTCTCCTGTTTCTGCAAGGGCGCCCTCGAGGGCGCGAAGTTATTCGCGCTTTGCATTTCGCGGTTCGGCTCCGATTCCTTTTCCTCCTCTTCTCCAATGGAAGGCGACGCGAGAGCGCGAAGTTATTCGCACTTCGCGCTTCGCGAAGCGCGAAGCGCCAAGTTGGGAGCCCTTGTACCTTCTTTTTCTTTTCCTTCGTCTGTGCAGGTGCCCACTTCGGGCGGGGGCGACGCCATGGTCCTGAGCTTCACCGTGCGCCAGGTGGCTCAAGTGCCCGACAACTACTTCTCCCTGAACGTCCCTATGATCGACCTCTCTCCGTATCCCCTCCACTCTGGTATGCTCCGGAGCGCACGGCTGAACGCTAGGAAGGACCCGGGGTACTATCAGGCCCTTGTTGGCTGGATCTCCTTTTCCCTCGGCCGCGGCGGGATACACCACGTGATCCTTCCCGGAGACTTGTCTGCTGGACACTGGACAAGGGACCAGAAAATGGCTTTGGGTGACCTGCACTCCATCTTAGGATACAACTCCTGGGAGGTCAAGTTCAGTATCAGAGTCCCGATTGCTTCCGCTCATTCTCGTTCAATTCGGCTGAATCTGGCTTCATCCCGTTGTCAATATTGGCTAATCCAGCTTTGTGGCCCATCGTTCCGGCTTACCAGCCATGAGTCGTCCCCACGAAGATTTCCCAGAGGTTGCCTCCTAATCTATCTTCGTATCGTACGACTCGGCCTCGCTGCTGACCAAGCACCTGGGCTCGCTGCAGGACGAGCTGGCCCTCGAGTTCGGGGGCGCCTGGCGGCTGGTGGAGGCCTCACCGGGCCTCTGGCAGCTCGGGGAGGAGCCCTACCGGTACGCGCCGCGGAGCGGGGCCGGGTTCAGGGTGTTCTGCCAGGAGTGCGTGTTCGTGTCGCTCTATCCGGCCGCCTGCGGGTCCCGCCGATGCGCCAGCCCTCATGGGCGGAGAAGGGACAACGGCAACCGCTGGGCTGAGGGAGTCGCCTCTACCCCGATCCGCCAGTGGTGATGACCTGTGCGCGGCACTCGAAACCGGACCCCGCGAGCCAGTCTCCACCGATCGGGGGCTGGGGTCGGCTTGTGGGGGTGCCAAGGGCGGGTCCCTCAGCCCAGCGGTTTGAGTCGTCTCTTCTTTGCTCCTGCGGCCCAGCATTCTGGGTGGCGGCTGTTCCAGGGGGGCGCGGGAGGCCGTCACGCGTGTCGCCACATGCCCCCAAGTTTGGGACAGCCGTGATGACGGTGATGATGATGAGGATGATGAGGATGATGAGGATGATGATGATGATGATGATGATGATGATGATGATGATGATGATGATGATGATGATGATGATGATGATGATGATGATGCTGATGATGCTGATGATGCTGATGATGCTGATGATGCTGATGATGCTGATGATGCTGATGCTGATGTTAATGCTGATGCTGATGCTGATGAGGGTGAGGATGAGGATGAGGATGAGGACGAGGACGAGGACGAGGATGAGGATGAGGATGAGGATGAGGAGGATGAGGAGGAGGAGGAGGAGGATTATGATGCTGAGGATGAGGAGGATGGTGATGATGATGCTGATGATGCTGCTGTTGATGATGGTGGTGGTGATGATGAGGACAGTGTGGATGACGAGCAGGATAAGTAGTAGCAGGAGGACGAGGAAGAGGAAGATGAAGGCCGTCTCATGTAACACCTGTCGTCGCCACTTTTTGAGGAGACCTAAATGGAGCTTATTTTAGCTACCTTGGGTCTGTCTTGTGCTCCCGCGGGGTAGTCGTGGGGTCCACTGGGGCAGTCTTGGGGCCCTCATGGGTTGTCTTGGGATCCGCTTAGGCCGTCTTGGGCAGTCTTGGGGCCCTCTTGGTCGTATGTGGGGGTGTCTTGGGGGCCGTCGAACGTCGTGCAAGCCCGAACAGAAGAGAATTCGAAAATCTGTGAAACGCCTCAGGAAAGCCAATCATATTGGAGTCTTCGGACACTGTTAGAGGGTCCTCTTGTGGCCTTGTCGGGCGCTCTTGGAGGCGTCTTGGGCCTCCTCTGCTTCCATGGCTGTCTGCCTCCGCAGTCTTGGAAGCTCGGGAGCGAGGACACATCGTTTCTTTCCGAGGTGTCGTCGCCTCGGTGCCGCGATTCTATGTGTTTGACAGGGGGTCGTGTCGTGGCCTTGGGAGGGAGGGTGATGCACGCACGTCTCTGCTATTGGCGGAGGGAGGGGGCTACAGGCTCCATCTCGCTCCGATCGATCGGACTCGATATCGATTCTGGCAAGCCCGATACGAGTCGCCCCCGATAATTCCGACGATCCGATGCGGCCCGACGCTCTCATGGGCGCGGTGGTGCATCCTGGCGCCGCCGATCCGATCCGACCCCCCCCCGAGCAGACCCGACCCGCCGCAGGAGGAACAGGAGGCAGGAGGAGGAGGAGGAGGAGGAGGAGGAGGGGGAGGGGGAGGAGGAGGAGGAGGAGGAGGAGGAGGGGAGGAGGAGGAGGGGGAGGGGGAGGAGGAGGGAGGAGGAGGAGGAGGAGGAGGGGAGGATGGGTCCCGGGGCGCCGAGAGGGCCCCGCCCGGCCTGCCCGTGGCGTCCTGCCACGCCTCGGCGGGCGGGCGGGCGCGGGTCGGCGGACCTCTACCTCGGCGGCGGGCCCGAGGGGCTCCTGCCGCTGGCGCCGTGGTCGCCCTGCCAGGTCCTCCCCCCTCCACCTCCTCCTCCTACTCCTCCTCCTCCTCCTTTTCCTTTTTCCTCCTCCTCCTCTCCTCCTCCTCCTCCTCCTCCTCCTCCTCCTCCTCCCCCCTCCACCTCTGCTCCTCCTTCGATTGCAGCTGGGCCGAGGCGCCTCCAGAGGCAGGGCTCGTTTCGGTTCCTCCAGTTCGACTCGATGCGACGTCGGTGGCTTCCGACTCCGAGTCGATGCGGCTTCGGATCTCGATTTGGGATCCGATTTCTCCGTGGAGGCCTACAAGCCTGCCGATGTCCGCCGATTCGGCTTTTCCCGACTCGGCTGCCGATTTCCGCCGATCCGATTCATTTCGATCGCCGATCCGATTTGTCGTTTCTTTTCTGAGCTCTCCTGCAGGTCCAGCGGCATCACGTGTTCCCCGCGCGCTGGAGGGAGATCGGCGGCGTCCTGGCGCCGTTCGCCGCGGACGCGGGGGGCGGCCTGCCAATCGACACCCCGCACGGCAGGGCGCGGCCCCCCTCATGGAGCGCCTCAAGTTTCGTGTCCGGAGTCCGGAGGGATTTTGGCGTGGAAACAGGGTCTGCTTGCCTCTAGAAGGCCAGCATGTTTGGGGTCTATGACGAGTACAATGCTAGAGACACATGAGGTGTCGTTACGTGCGCATACATACACAGAAACAGACAGACAGACAGACAGACAGACAGACAGACAGACAGACAGACAGACAGACAGACAGACAGACAGACAGACAGACAGACAGACAGACAGACATACGTCCATACATGCATACATACATATGTGCATGCATACACACATCCATTCACACATACATGCATTCACGCATACATGCACACATACATTGATACATGCATGCATACATGCAATCCGACGTACATGCATACATACATACATGTATGCATACAGACATGCCTGCATGCATGTATGCATACATGCACCCACAAATATACATCCACACACACATACATACGTACATGCATGCATGCACACATACAGACATGCATGTATGCATGCATGCACGCATACATATACATACGCATACACATATATAGACATACATGCATGCATGCATGCATGTATACATACATACGCACACACATAACCACACATACATAAATACATACATGCCTACATGCATGCATCCAGACATACATATAGACACACGTATATACATACACTCATGCACACATACGCACATACATACATACTTGGACACACGCATACATGCATACATACATGCCTTCATACATACACACATACACACGTACATGCATACACATGCATACATACATACATACATACATGGATGCATGCATGCATGCATGCATATGTTATGGTTTTCGATCAGACCCCCATTCATGCATACATGCA